CGCCCACCCCCCTTCAGGTGCACCTCCAGCTGCCCCTCCGCCCCCACCTCCCGGAGTGCCCGTGGGACACCAGGCTCACCCGTCCCCGCCACACGCCGCTGTCGGCCAGACGGCCGTGGATTCAGCACCTTCGACGAGGAAGTCGACCATGCTGGGGATGATCCCGATGAGCGACGCACGCTCCGACCTGCTGGCCGCCATACGCAGAGGTATGAGTGCCAGGATTTCTACATGTGTGGCGAATATCTTTCAGGCTTTCTCCCAGAAAACTTTCTAGCCTTGGTGGTAGAGGACAATACCGTGTTTTTGAGTTAAAAAATGTTTAAAGTTGACAGGAAATTTGAAAATATAACTAAGTAATTATGGCTTATTGGAAGACATTAACATTTTCTAAACACCAACTTTCTTGAAGTTGTTAGTGTGTAGACCGGTAAAGGCGGACAGTGATTATAGAGATCCAGTCAATAAAAAAACATGCCTGACCTCAGTCTCCCTGGTGCATTCACACCAGCCCTGTTTAGTCTACTTTGATCAATCTCTAGTTTGCTTGCCTAGAATGTCCAGTTTGTTTGGGGAGGTATGAATGCACAATTGACCATATAAGCAAACTCTGGTCCACCATAAACCTCGGTCTCTGATTGGTTGAAGTGATCTGTGGCGCCAGGTTTGAACACCAAGCAGACCAGAGACTGCTCCAAAAGCAGGAATGGGACTATAGCACAAGGCATTCTGGGTAAATACAACCAAAAAAATGCAAAAGTCTATTGCTTGACTCATGGTCTTTAGCCAAAGACAAAAGGGAAATCCTACAAAGGCTAAAATCTGAAGCAACTCCATTTTTTGTTACATTTTGCAAAGAATGTAAACTTCTGAGGTTTTCATGTTGTTTCCTTCAATGGTTCTTGGTGCAGCGCCCCCACAGGCAAGGAGGTGAACAGGTTTTTCAAATGGTTTGGATAGTTTGATACAATGGCCTGTGAAAGAGAACTGCACCAGCTAAACTTTGGTTTCCAATTGAACAAGGACTATCAGGTGTGAAAACACCCTTAATCCTTAATAGTTTATGCTTGCAGTTTGATAAAATGGAAGATATTTTCAGTAGTATTTAGAGACAAAGCTCTCATCAGACCTCACTGCTCCTCCCTTCACAGGCATCCAGCTGAGGAAGGTTCAGGAGCAGAGGGAACAGGAAGCCAAGCGGGAGCCTGTCGGCAACGACGTGGCCACCATCCTGTCACGCCGCATCGCCGTGGAGTACAGCGAATCCGACGACGACTCGGAGCTGGATGAGAACGAGTGGTCTGACTAAAAAAAAAAGAAAAATAAGAGAAAAAAATGAGATGGAGCTTTGTAAGGCTGGACTGGCAGAGCTAACAGAGAGAGAAACTTTACATTGAGTTAATAACGAAGGTGTCGGATTAGTTTTAAGGTTCGCATTTTAACTACGAGGTTGACTAAAAACCAATCATACATTTGTTTACACATATCGCCGGAGCAGGGCTCGGAGAAGGCCGGGCGACAGCTCGATACTTTCATCATGCATGGTTGCCCCTCACAACTGCTCTTCTCGAACTGAGAGCCGAGAGGCTTTCATGTCAGACTGCCCGTGGTGTGAGGCACAATAAACACGCCCTCCATCTCGGCAGCCTCCCGCCCCCCGTCCGCTCGTTTTTAACCGCAATCACGGAGCTGTGAAAAATAAACCCATAAACGTCTCCCTATATTCACACCCCAGCGGTAGTTATTAGCAGTATGTAGGCAGCGCCCCCCTGTGACTACGGGGTTTAATGTGTTTACAGAGCACATGGTACAGCACAAGAAAGATTAACGATAGTGCAATCTTTACGACTCTGCCAAATGTTCCGCAAGAATTTGAGGAAGCAAGTCAGAATAATCAGGGAAGATGATAGCTTGTTAGCGGATGACTGTGCCTGTCTGTGGAATGAAGCCAAACTTTTGGGAGTTTGGTCCTCTTGACCAACAGGATCAGCACCGGTGCTCTCCAGGTGAGCTGCTATCACATGTTCCAGCTAGATATTTGAGCTTCGCTTCATTCACAAAATAGTTCATAATTTATTTAACTTAAAGAGGAAGTTAGCCAAGGTAGCTGAGAACTTCAACAGGCTTGTTTTCTCTCGGATATATTTATGTTTGCGTTAATACCTTTATTTAAAACCACACATGATGAATAATACAGGAATTGTGTTTTCATGCAATTTCTGATTGATCATAATGCACTGCATATTTTAACAAAGAGTCCATGTTATGTTTGTTTCTAAATTATTGGTATAGAAAACCACTGTACTGGCGTATTTATATATTTACAGACTTAAGAGTTTAATGAAAATTACTTTTAAAAAAAAGACTGTAGGGAGATTTTTTTCAATATAAGAAATTGTAGCCAGAAGAATTAGCATTTTTTGACCCAATTATACAGTAATGCATATCACAGATCATATTAGAAACACTTTAATGCCATCTAGTGGTCAGAGTTTTGCCCTTCATTCATATCTATTGTATATTCTATATGCAAATTAGCAATCTCTTCTTCGTTGGCAGGAAGAAAAAAACATTTTTTTAAATTAATCTTGAATAAATTCAGGCAAAAAAAGACATTTAAACTGCTAAATTACTCAACTGCCCATCACCGATTTGGAGTACAGATACAAATTTCTGAGAAAAAGCATAACATGGCCTACTTAATAATAATCCACAAAAGATTATTCTATTATTTTTAGAATTCACTTTGTTAATAAGAACAATATTTTAGGTTATTTTAAAGAAATATCTAATTTTAGGTGTTTTAAAGCTTTGTTTGGTCTTGTGGTACGATAATAAAACTTTATTTTTCTTATAAGTTGGGGTTAGACATTTTGGCAAAAGTGGTTTGGAAACCAGGCTCCCAAAAGTTGATGTAGTTGTTGATCTTTTATGATTATGATAAACTGTACCTCCCACTGAGGTAGTTTGGTAAACTGTGATAAAAGACGCAGCTAATGCTAACGCTAACATGGGATTAGCCTCACCAGTCTGTTTAAAGTTGTTATTCTGCCTACATATCATTGCTTCGGTCAGTCAGGCCAGCTAGTTAGCTTATCCCACTGTTTTGTGCTTTCTTAAAGTTATCATTATCATTATTATTATTATTCTCACCCTTTGTTAGCCATTCCAAACTCAAAGCCGAATATTTCAGCCTGTGACTGTATGCCGTGGTCTTCTATAAATGCTTCAAGGCTAAACCACAACCAGCACCGTACTCATAACAACAACAACAACAACAACAAAAAAACAAAGTTCTTCATCTTGACATCTGTACCTTTTGGTGGCCCCACTTGCTTAATACCGTTGCTTTCCGTGGAGGCTCTTGTGAATTATAAATACATAAATGTGAGAAACTTGCAACGCTAATATATAGTATGATATCTCTTCTCTCTTTTCAATATAGGTTTGGCTAATCCTCAGTGTGGACTGATTGGACTGTCGTGTTTTTATAATGTGCTTTTTTTTCTTTCTTTTTTAAAGTGCTGCAGTGATTCATTTGCTTTATTTTAGGGATTTTTTATTAGGTGAGGACCCAGATGACAGAGTGGAAGATGTGTCCAAGAAGCCAGCTAAAAGATTTTTATTCCTTAGCAGATTAACCTGACGTATTCTCATCTCAAACAGAAGTAAAAATCCAGCAGAAGAAGCATTTGATACTAGAGTCTTGTATCGGATTTTACATCAGAAGCAGCATTTTTGATAGAGAAAACACTAAGGGTTTATTTTTTACGTGTTTACTTTAGCAAATCTTTATTTTTCAGTTTCTGAGACCGTTTTAAAGCTTCGGTGTTCAAAACGTTTAAAAAAAACTTATCGTGTCGCTACGTTTCAGATGATGCCACGCTTTTTTTGGAGGATGTGTGTGTATATATATATATATACACACACACACACACTCAATAAGTTGGCTTACTCAGAATTTGCACTCTTGTAGAATACAATCACATCTGGATTAAGGACTGAATGATACGACATGTTGATGAGTTCTTGGTATTCTCCGTAAAAATCCGAACTAAGATTTTCAAACCGTGCCATGAAACAAAACAGAAAAAAAAGCACATATAAACAGCCAGCGTGGATTTTTCCACAAAGCTCGGTGAGAGTTTACTGTAAAAAGAAAAAAAATAAAGTTTATGTTGTAACTGAGAAGTCAAGAGGCATCAAATCTGCTATATTATCCAAATTGTTCTTCGGTGGTCGTGTTGTTGTGTGGGAGTCATAGATACACACCCATCTACGCGTTTAACGAAATCTGTCCAAGATTCAGAGAATGTAAAACTCCAGCTTGACTGACTTGCCAACAAATAGCAAAACAACCACAGAGACACAAAATGTTGAAGTTCTTCAAACACCCGTACTTTGTGTATCTATGGCTTCTGGCTTTTAAAGAAAATGTTCTTCTGTGTTGAAAATGTGACAAAATGAATCATGTTGTATAGACTTTTGGTAAAGCAGCCTTCGAGGTTAAATGCATTTGGTTTACTATAACCTAGACAATAAAACAAAGTTAAGCTGTGTATTGCACACTAAAATCAGCTGTGTAAGCAAGTATGCATGTGACTAAAGTCAATAAATAGTGATTAAAACAGCATGTTGGGTTTCCTTTGCTTCTATTGGTGTCATCCTGTTTTTTTTTATTTTTTTTAGTAGCTTCACACTTGAAAACAATATTTGAGCTCTGTTGTGTTATCAGCTCCACTATCAAAACCCTTTCATTTCTGAGATACTTTCATTTGCTAGCATGCTATTCGTAGCATCATCCTCATATGACCTCGAGTTTAGCTGCAATACCTCAATATGTTGTTTTAGTTTGAAAGGTACGATATGTACATACTACAAAGTTGCTCATCATAGCTAAACTAGCATATAATAACTATAACTTAAAGAAACTTCTCTCCCAAAAATATCACTTAAAAGTATTTTTAAGATCAGTATATCCCCACTAGAAGGGGGATACACTTCTAGTATCATTGTTTACATTGTTTAAAATGTAAACAATGATACATGATGTCCACTGTAAGTGACAGATTTATGATTTCCTTCCTAGTTAAAACATATATTTCAGTATTTGAAATGGCAAGATAATCCCATGGTGCCTGGCAACCCCAGAAAATTTTTACAGGGATGAATTTTTTTTTAAGGAAACGACTAAAAAAAAGAAAAAGAAAGAAAAATAGGCCTATGCATTTTTTTGTTTGTTTGAATGAAGAAGTACATGTAAAACCCAATGAATTTTTTATTTTATTTTTTTTTTTACATTTATCTCTTCATTGACAAAGACTGCATGGGTTTCTATGAACGTGATTCTCTTGGGAGACCTGCAGTGTCACCTAGGTTTTCCAGGGGGCGCCACTGATCTGGCGGCCATGTTGGTTGGAGCTAGTAAGTAATGCATAGCGTGATGCACTAATGTCCCACGAAGCATACAATCGGTCCACGCCCACATTTATACAAGAAAATTGCATTTGTTTAGCTGTCCACTGTAATGTTATGAATAAGATGGCTAAAAGTTTAAAAAGCGGGGCCTTGGCTCCGGTAAAGGAGGACTTCCTGTAAAATCTGATGTGATTTCCTACAGGAGGCTTATATTTCCCCCTCGTCTACCGTGAGTCATTGGACCCACGCAGATTCTTACTAAAAGGAAGCAACCACTGTGGTTCAGCATTAGCAGAAAAACGTAACTGTTGCGTAAATTGAGCAACCATGACTCCACTGTTCTCGGGGAGGCACAGTCAGCATGGTCAGGAGGCAGAGTTTGGCAGGGCGGAGGTGGAAACCACGGGCGCCGTTTCCCGTTTTCGGTACACAGATGGTGACACAGCGGAGAGGAGAGGATGGAGACCGAGAGGTCAGAGGAAAAAGCAAAATAAATCACACACGTACTGTTTTGCCATGTACAATGTGGATGACTCAAGTCTTGTTCTTTTGGCGTGGCGGCAAGGTTATGAAGGTTATCTTGGGAATTGTGTTCTGATTTAGTGTAACTCTAAGTTTGGAATCAAAAGTTACAGATTGTAACATTTTCTAACAAACATAGTTGAATTATTTAGCTGATGAGACGTTATTAAAATCAATTTTGGGGGTACAGAGAAAGCAACAAAAAAAAGAAGAAGGTGGGATTCAAGTTTATGCTCAAATCAATCTGCATTTATATTCTTTCAATAAAGAACCGGAAATGTTATTTATTTTATTTTATAATTATCACATTTTTATTCTCTGAAAGCTTTAACTTTATGTTGATATTATGGTTTCATTTAATTAAGCATTTTATGCGTGTATTTGTAAGCTACAAATACCTTTCTATGAAACTCTTTAAAAATACATCTGCAGTACTTTAGAAATTAATACAATGAAAATATTTGGCATGTTATTGTCAAAAATCATAAAGCTGTTCCCCAAAGCTCTTATTTCAGCCCTTTTCCATTCCCTATCTTTAAAAATGAGGTGGGACCGGGAATAAATGCAGTCAAAGCAGATATATTCACATGACACCATCATATCAAACTTCCTCCATAAATACATCTGGAAAACATTTGCAGGAAACTTTTTGTTCTTTCAGTTACCCCCCCAGATACCCCCACTCAAATTCAAAGGTTTTGAACTCAAAAACTACATTGATGACTTTTCCCTCAACCTCACCTTAGAGCTCTTTATTGCAACACTAAATCGTAAATCTAGAAGTGACTATTCCATCTGCGGACATGTTGGGAATATGTTGCCGTCCCAGGCTCATTTCTTCATTTCTGCAACCTGCAGAGATTAATTTAGCTGGTTCTCTTCAAATCAAACAAGTTTTATTCTTGTCTGACACATTGTTGTAAGAATCCTTTGACGTTTCAGCTTGTTTTGCTGTGACAGAGCTTTATTGTTTCCTGCAAAATTTGATAATGATGATTAATTTGTTCTTCACCTATCAGGCTATAAATAATGTTTATCTGATATTTAACAGTAAAGAAGTTGCTCCACATTTACTCAAGAGTTTTGCCCTTCAACCAGTCAATGAAGAGCACCCCGCTGTTATAATGGAAAACATTCAGATGTCCTGGACTAGTCTTATTAAAACTGACTTCAATAGGACCCATGGAAAGCCAGAAATATACTGAAGACTGCTTCCATCAGATAGAAGAGAAAACCACGTGACGCTGTCATTAGAGCGCGCGCTGCGCAATCAGAGGACCTTGACGTCCAGAGCTCGAGTCCGGTTCTCTTTACCCTGCCACATCATGTCTTCAAATTACTTTCAAATAAAGGCCCTTTGAGCGGAAATTCATTTTTTTTAAAAGGATTAAAGATAATTTAAAACTGTTTCTGTTGATCTCTGATGTCACCCTGATGACGTGTTAGTAATCTCTCGTCCACTTGTGATTCAGCTCCGGTTCTGCGTTCAGCTCCAGACTGCGTACAGGGACTCATGCTCACAACTTTCAATTAAACGTTCATTAAACTCCTAAATCACAGTGACGACGTGTGAGTCAGGGCCAGCGGATGAGGGCGAATCGCTCCGGTTCGGGTTCTTACTTGGGTTCTTACTTTCCCACCAAACCTCCACACTGGGCCGTTTGTTGTGCCTCGCTGAGAGGAGGACGTGAGGGTGGGAGAGCTACCCTGTGAGACGGGAGGCTGGAAAACGGGGTGAATCGGGCTTGTTTTGAAGCTGCTGACGTAAAACAAGTGAGGTTTGTGTGTGTGTGTGTGTGTGTGTGCAGGGTGCTGCGGATTTTCTCCATTTATGAACTGCAATACTCACCCGTAGCCAGTAGGTGGAGCTCTTCACCTCTATGTTGCAGCCGCATAAAGGTGAGTCAAGGAGTTTGGGCATTATGGACACACACCTCATGCTGTCACGATTCTCCGGCTCACACAAGCAGATTTGAGATTGAATGATAACGAAATGTTTCACAGATTTAGATGTAGTAACTAGTTACATTTACTTGAGTAGCTTTTTTTGGGGGGGGGAAATTACTTTTGAAACCGTTTTTACTATGCTACTCTTAATGGAGCAAAACATTTCTGGCTACTCTACCAACTGTGAGCAACTGTGGATGAAAAACAAGCTTGTTTTAGCCAAACACTCACCAGACACAGACACACACCTGAAGTTTTTGTTACATTTTCATAAGTTTTATATTGAAATAAACTGATGTGGAAAAAATGTTTTTGTCTAATTTTTGTTATTTTGTAATTGTATGAATTATTTCAATTTTGATCTTTAAAATAGCTAAATTTACACAAAGCTTTATATTTCAGTCTTAAAATAAGTTGAAGTGTTGCTACTGCTACTTGAGTACAGTTTTTGGTTACTGTACAAGCAGAGTTTAGCTATATAACATAACATACACATGTAGTGTGAAATATTGAACAGTCATCTTACTAACTAAACAGTCGCCTCTGTGTGTCGCCTAAAAATGTAGATTCAAACCTTCAATGTTAGCAAAAGGTGAAAACAGAGTGTAATTACTAATTAATCAAGCCTTCATGTTATCTGTTTAAAAGGTCTCACTTTCTCTCACCGCTGATATCTCTCAGCATGGTAGAAAATCCCATTTTCTTTTAAGTAGCTTTTTACCTCGCTTTACATCCTCTGAAAATGGGTAAATTTGAGCATACTTCCCTCAGTAACAACATCTACCACAAAGAGTGTTTGGCACAACACAAAAGCAGTTAGGACGTTGAGTTCATTGTTTGGAAAAAGATTGGAGTTTTGAGTTTCTACTTGAGGAGCAATTCCTAGTCCTGGGAACTCTGAATCGATTCAAAATGCTCAAAAATGAATCTTAAAATGTGTCCTATTTATTATTTAATTTCCCTTTGGGATCTATAAAGTATTTCTGAATTGAATTTGCTTAAGTTTTAAACAAATTCAGTTAAAATTTGAATTGCTGCTCCCATTTGCAAGTATGCTGCATATCGTTTTACGTGTCCACTTGGCCATCTCATCCACCATATAAAGCCAGAATACATAGTTCCCACAAGTCTGAATCGGAAGTGATCCGTGTCACTGAGACGCCATCTTGGTAGGCAAGCGCAACACAAAGCATAGATCAACCACGGCATCGACACCAACAAAAAGAAAGTAAATGGAGAAAAAAAAGTTTGACATAATAGTTGTATTGTTTATAAGTTAGATAGGAATGTTTATTGTTATCATAGCAACTCTGTAGCAACCTTCATGAGAGTTAGTCATGCATACCTACCAAGATGGCCGTCAGTGGCAAAGTTCCTGGAAGTGTGACGTCACCTGAGAACTATGTATTTTATGCATAAAAACCTACTTTTGTTGAAATATAATGTGATGGAATTTGATACTTAATGGAATCTTATAGAATTGCTTTAGATTCACATTCTATTCACTGTCTTTTCCTCTTGTCAGTAACAAAATTTAAACAGAATCTGTCAACCATTTCAATAGCAAAATTGGTTTCAGTATCGAATTGTGACCCTAAAATCGGAATCGAATCTGTGGACACTGAAAGATTCACATCTCGAGTTTAAGCTGCTCAAGCAGAAAATTTAATTTGGTGACCAGGCAGTCATTCTGTGCATCTCTAGGTCAGGAACACCCTTTGTCTATGTTGCATAAACCCAGCATGAAGACAAAAACCGATCATGTTGAGCAGATTCTCTCCATCTCGTCTCTCCCTGTGGACATCACCCCATTTCTCCTGTCCTCTCTCCCTCGTCATACTGCCTCTGTCTTATACCTTTTGCTGTTGTTATGCAACCGGGAGTGGTCTTAATAATTCAGCAGCATCCCTTTCGTCCTTTTGTTTTTCTTTTTTTTCTTTTTTTTTACCCAGCACATTTTGGTTCACACTACAGTGACCCTGCAGCGCTTACTCACAGGCACACACCCCCCTTCCCACATAAACACTCGTAACAACACCCACGGGAAGCTAATGTCACACGAGCTCACTCCTACAAACACACCGGCTGACGTCAACAACCTGCACACACACAAAGAAAAAAACAACTCTTTTTTTTTTTTGGTTTTCTTTCATTGTTTGCAGTTTATTTGGCAAATATTTCTCAGCCCTCTTTTTTTGTCATTTTTTCCCCCACTTTCTCATATTTATTTACAATATTAAAAAATAAATCTTTCTCTTCGTAGTTTTACATTCGACATTTACAAGTGCAATGTGTAACATGTCCATCTTATAAAGTGCATTTGTACTTTTTGATCAATTGTGTCACAACACAAACTTGAGAGAACCGAAAAAAACAATAAACAAAAACAGTAATTATATTAAAAAAAAATAATTAAATACACCTCACATGATTCACGGACGCTTCATCAGGTCTATGACATCACAGTATCATTACCCAATAGTAAAGAGAGATGCTTTACTAGCCTCTCATCCAAGACTACAACACTGATGCATAAAACAATGTTTGTTTTTTTTCTATGAAGGCCATATTTGGTCTGATAGAAAATTAGCTCTGTAATGTTTTTTTTTTTTTTTTTTACTTTTTTTTTATTAACAATCTCTGCTTGCCTGAAGTGTTTCCATTATCGATGGTTTATTTGCGGTATGCACTCGCGTAAATACGGTAGCCTGACCCTGCTTATTAAAAACTGTGATGTAAATGCTTGTGCTCATGGAAATAAAAGAGGGAAGGCTCAAAATGAGGGATAGAAAGAGAGAAATATATATGCGTGACTTTGTTCTTGAGGAAAAGACAGATGGGAAGAATGAAACTTTGCATGAGGTAAAAAAAAAAAAAACTTTCTACACTGATTTGCTTAATTTCTTCCCCTCCTTTTTCTCTATTTTTCGGCAGCTTCTTCTCTTTTTTTTCCTCTATGGAAGAAACTATTTTTAGAGCACACCTGACAGGCTGGCTTCCTGCAGGCGGAAGCGAGTAAAAATGTTCGGCAAGTAAAAAGAAATGCAAAAAGAAATGCAAAGAGGAGGATAAAAGATGGAAAGTGAAGTTACCAAGAAGGAGAGAAAATGGTGTAATTTTGTTTCGTAGGACGATGAAGTTCAGAACAGAGAAGGATGCATGTTTGGGACGGGGATGATTAAAAATGAGGAGAGGAGGAGGAGAATATGGGGATGTCTTTGAAACGACCTGCTTCCTCAGACACGACTCAGACAAAATGACGTCACTCGAAACAAGACTCTGTGACGTACTTTGGCTCCCGTCTCCCTGCCTCCCTGTCGTTTTATGGTCACATCGCTGCACTTTGTGAATGAAAGTCAGAGTCGCAACACAACAACCCACAGGACTGTGAAAAAGTTTTTGTCCCCTTACAGAATTGCTTTTTGTTTTGTTTTGTTTTTCACTTTGCTGTTTGTTTTGTAACTGTGTCCTAGTCGTCTGCAGATTTGTATTAATTTGGTCACACTGGGGATTTTCTGCAAGTGTCTAATTCATGACTCTGCCAAATATAGACAGTCATCTAAATCTCGAAGAAGAACAAACCCAGACCATCACACTGTGGCTATGATGGTCGTGTTTTGCACAAGAGTGAACGGGAGGCATGTTTTCCACAAAGTTCTGCTTTTATCTCATCGGCCCAAACAAAATTTCTGGAAAATCCTTAGGATCACCAAGATGTTTTTGGGCAAACAGACAGGCTTTTGAGTTCTGCATGGTCAGCATTTTTGTTGTTGTTTTGTGTTAGATCTTTCTTTTGGCTGCCATTTTGCTCAGTCTCTGTCTTTAAATACAATAGACGAGAGTCAACGTTTTCCGCATATACTTTTTCCCAATGGCTCTCTTGATAAAAGTTAATCTTGAGAGAGCCGTCTGGGAAAAATAATATGTGGAAAACATCCACTCTCATCTTTTGTAATAGTTATATATTAAATCATGAGCACTTTACATGTGTAAAGTCCTTTCATAATATCGGTATGTGCAACATACTGATGTGATATTTGGTAAAATATCTAGTGAAATACATTCACTCTGTTCATATTAACAATACATTTGGCCCAATGGATGTAATTTAACTGCACTTTATTCCCACACCTGATGCATAATTTTGGTAGCAGAGATGCTACAACTTTTAGAAAATTATGTGGGCGTTGTTTAAAAGTTTAGAGTTGGAAAACATGGGTAAGTCAAAATTGATATCACCAATTTTGAACCTTTCTGGTCTGGCAGTAATCAGGCCTGGCTGTAGCAACTAAAGTTAAACCAGGTTTATGAACTGTGGTGTTTTCACAGGTTGCTTTGGATATCAGCTTTCCTCTCATCAATGAAATCATCATTTTTTATCTTTCTTTATTTATTTAAGCTATAATTCGGTGATATACAGTTTAGTTTGATGATATAAAAAGGGTAAAACGGAAGAAATCTGTAAAGGGGCAAACACATCTTCACAGCACTGCAGTTCAGAAGGTTTTATTCTGTTTGCTCGGCGTAATGATCAGTCATGCCTCACAAGAACGTTTTTTTAAATACCACACTCTTTTCATCTGTTTTAGATCCTTCCACTTTTAGCTGCTGTGTTGAGATTTTGTTGTTGCTCTTGTTTTCCACAGATCAGCAACGACTTCAGATTCTGCTACGAGAATCACCTTTGAACAAAAATGTATGTACAGGAACCAAAAATAGGACACTAGATTCAATAAAAATAAAATAAAATAAAATATGGCACTTTTTCAGCATATTCAATACATTTTTTTCCCTCCAAAAAGGAAACAGTAAACATTTATAAATAGAAAGAAAACGCAAGAAGAAGAGGAAGAAACGTTCACACACGCACAGCAGCGAGCATATCTTGGAACTCATGCCCTGATGATAAACATTACAAAAATATACATTTCTGTACAGCCTTGCATAAGAAAGAATAACACACACTCACTTGAACAGTTTCATTTAAAAAAATAACAATAAAAAAGCAAAACAATTATAGTCGGGCGTAGCATCGGACAGACCCATTCAGCGAGTGTTTGTGTTTACAGTGAGAGTTAGTTGAGTTATGGTTCCTTACAATTGGCTATGCTTCTTGGTGGAGAACGTACAGGATAGCAGACACACACACACACACCTACACACACACAGTGAGTGGTCGCTTCACTCCCGTCCCCAGGAATGGTTGAGTTAGTGCCATATTCACAGATGAGTATTTTTAACTGCTGGACGTGCCAGATGGGACCAAGAGCATCATCTTAAAACAAACAAAGTTAAAACAAAACCATGAATGCTACTCATGCTGTCAGCTGCTTCAGCTGATGAACGTTGGAAATGACTTCATCAAACTGCTGGCTCAAGGTTTCTCTATGTGGTTTTTACAATTTCCACCAGAGTTGGATCAATTCTTCACTTTGTTTATTTTATCCTTGTGAAATCTTACATACTGTGGCTCAAGCCAACACTGCCAGAGAAAACACTGCCGGTTGTTAAAAACACAACAAACCTTGCACTGCACAACTTGGTCTAAAAACATTTTGGTTTGATAAAACCAAAGCCTGAATGTGAAGCCAAAGAAAAAGTAGAGAACTCCAGCTCAAATCTTTTGACCTCCTTAAAGAAGAAAATGACAGAACTGTATTCTTTTGATCAAATTAGTGAACAATTTGATTACACCAGCACACAGTCTTTTTGTATTAATTAAAGACATTCATCAAGTTTGGTTTCTGTAGCAAGCAAGAACATTCATTACTTTACGTCCAAGACATGTCTGTGGAGATTTAGTTAACTTCCTATATATTCCTAAATATATCAATACTTTGATACTAATAGTCACTGTTGTTAAAGTGAAAGAACAATGATTTTCTAAAATATATTTTTCATTAGATTTAATTTATAATTGGAACATGGACATCTGTCAAATTTGTAGCATACCACTAAAATATGTTGATAAATTTTCCAAATAGTTTACTTAAATGATTTGTAGTCAAATGGAAACTATATCGGTTAGCTTTGAGAGCGGTAGCTTTTTAGCTAGCAAGAAAGCAAAAGTTTTTTTAACAGGATTTTGAATATCGAAATGCGATAAACTGAGTGAATTAGGAGTACAATGTTGGCCAGTATATTTAGCTTAATCTTTCTTATTTTGTTTTTACAGTTTTTCTATAACAAAGAAACTAAAATATAATTTTTTAAGCTAGGGAAAACTGCCAGTTGGAAGTCAAAGCCTTGAGTTATATTTGCACATTGGTGGTGCTTCAACATAAATAACAAGTCTCTGTAAGATAACTGTTTCACCAACCCCTTAGGGAAAATTAGCCAAAAAACTGACCATCAGTAGCTAGCTGCAAAATTTCTCAAAGCAATTTTCTCCACATGGTAAAAGTCCAAACTTTGTACTTGTTTATGAATAACTATGCATAATTGTAATTTTTTTCTGCTGTGGCAAAATTTGATATCCAATACATTAAGATTAAAACGTTTCACCTAAAAACTAAGCTATGCTAGGTTAGCATTAACATATGGCTAAAAGTAATGTGAGACCCAAAATAATACAACCATTTTTTATTTTCTAGAGATGATTTCAACCAACAGTAACGATGGGAAATCTGTGGCTAAGCTTTCTGGCGAAAATAAAACACAAACTCTTTCCCTTTCAAATCTGGTCCATAGCTTTTTGTCTCTTTTCAGTCACCGTTTAAAGCTGCTCAAGCAGGTCTTTACAAATTTCAGGCAGCAGTTCTTGTTGTGCACCTTTCAGATATCAGACCAAATCAGGTACAGAAACAGTACAAACCTTAATTACTTACCAAATTCATTACAGCCTTGTTTGTCCCATCTAGCATTTCCAAAAACAAATGCTTAGGTTTGTTTTTTTTGACAAAACCTTATATAAATATGATGTGCAAAGTAAATATTTGCATCCACTTTTAATGTAAAATGGATTCAACGATTGATTTTACTTTCACTTTACTTTACTCTCCAAAGTACCAAAGCCTCTGGATAATTGAATGTATTTTACCGAATTATTGATGCTAGTGATTAACCATTAGGCAGTTCCATCAATGCAGTGTTGGTACAAAAGAGAGGTGGTCAAAGCTTCTTTGATAGATGGGTTCACCTTATACTATGTTTTTAGATTTTTGTTTCAAACGTTTAGTAGTTTGGATACACAGCCATCCATTCAGATCGTTTCCTTTTAAATCCAATATGAAGTCAAATTATTTGTGTTTTTTTTTTTCAGCTACATTTCCAAGCTGACCACATTTCTTTTTCTCTACATTTTCATTGTGGCTTTTTGTACACAGCAAAATGCAGCTGAACTTTATTGCAAAGTATATTTTGCTCCATATAATACCCAAAGCGAAAAAAAGCCAAAAGAAATAAGACACAAATAAATAATCTTGTCTTTGACAGAAAATTGTGCAGCTGTTGTTTTGCTAACAACGGCTGCAAAAACAACTGATTGTACTTTTCCTGCCAAGAAACGTAGAAAATGCTTCTTTTAAAAGTTTTCATATACAACACAGAAAAGAACAAAAGCTAACTGCTTCTCCTATGTGCCATTTTCAACGGTAGGATTTTTGCTTTCATCTCCTGCAACATATTTGGTAGAAAGCACTAAATTCAAAGTAAACTCCCTGTTGTTGCAAAAAACAGCTATTTTTTCTGTCTCTAAAGTGTTAGTTTGAATCTACAGCCCATATAGATTTTCCCAAAGCCAGCACACCTCCCACACACCTATATTAGCTGGATGCCAGTAGCTTAGTCATCGTAACTCTCTCTGAGGATGTGCAGAGGAACACGAGAGAGAGAAAGCTATCTATGCAGATCATTTAAATGCAGACAAAGGGTTGGAAATGATCACCTCTTTAGCTCCTTCTCTGAACATCATCTCTCTGGTGCAGAGATGTTAATAACATTCACTGGATTAAACTTGCGCGATGCCTTTTCAGTTGGAAATATACCTGCCAACCTCCAGTGGAAGACAGCTGTGTAGTTGTGTGACTCAAGGCTGCGTTAAAGTACATCTCGCCTGACGTTTCTATTTCACGCCACGTCACCTCTTCTCTCTGGCTTCTCATTAACCCGCCGAGCCTTCAGAGGAGCTCCGGGCCAGAGCTGCAACTGCTTCTTCGGGGCGGGGCGAGAGCAAATCCGGCTGCTGCTGACGTGCTGCAAGCTGGGGAATTTAGATGGAAGTCATACGGCAGCACAAACCAAAGCAATCTAGAGCGCTTGAGTTTAGAGCTGCTTTGGGTAAACTGCCATTTGGAGATTGGAGATAAACACAGGAGTTCCCGGTGGGCATGAACCGGCTGACCCAGATGTTTTAAAAAGGTGCAGATTCCAAATCGGTATAATTTCCAGTGATTTGAATCCTGCAGTTTAAAGTCATCTTGATGAGATTGGAGAGTAGAATAAAGCATTGCTTTCCTTTCCTCATCTGCTACTGCGCACTGCTGATCAGCCAGCTGAAAGAAGGCACTCGCTTTATTTCCCCCCTCATTTACAAGAAAGACTAATTTTTGGAAATATACAGGGTTTCCCCCAGGAAATCTGCTAAGCCCGTTGGTAGGACCCACCGTGTTTTCGTGTTTTAGTTTAAAAAATTCAGAGGTGGATGAGCAGGCGTCATAATTTGGAAATTATAGCGTGTGAGGTCAATGCAGCCACTATAAACCTAGCTTAATCTGTCTTTACTGTCACTGTTACTGGTGTATAAAAAAAAATCCCTATTTAAAATAAACAAATAATGCTTAGTCTGGTGGGGGAGGCAAGTAAAGCCTGGTGGCCTGCCAGGTTTATAATACAACAGAGGAAACCCTGTCAATTTAACCATAACCTGTCAGTCTTCAGGGATTCCCCCAGAAAACTTGCTAAGCACCATTGCTCGGGACCATAGGACAGTTATCCAGCCGGCTGCCATGTTTTGAGTTAAAAAGTGTTTAGAGTTGACAGGAAATTTGAAAATATTACTTGATAGTTATGCGTTTTTGGAAGACTATAATATCAATACCTAAACATCAACTACAAAGTCTTAAAAAGGGCAATAATTTAATAAAACCTAAGATAAATTAACAATGCTAAGCCTGGTGGGGGCACAAGTAAAGCCTGGTGGCCCGCCAAGCTTAAAATACACTGAGGGAAACCCTGAGTCTTATACATGTTATGCTCTTTAAGAACTACAGCTGGTAAGCTACAAGCAGCATGTCTGGTTAACGGCTGACTGAGAGTGCTACAGAGCAGATAGTCCTACTAGTTAACCTGCTCATATCGGATTATTACATTTGTCTACAAAGTGCAGATTAAAAGTAATACAATTGTGCACAATAAGCCTTTGAAAACAAGTGTTTAATTTAGTGGGTGTTTTTCAATGTCTGCTAAAGTTAGAGTAAAAACACAAAGGTGTGTAGTTTTTCTGTTTTGAACAAAAGCAGCCCAAGGACGTCAAACGAGACGTCAGTTCTTCCTATGTGGTTCTGTGAACGACTTTTCTGATCCATATTTTCAGTCGACTTAATGCAATCAAATGGAATTGTCCTTTAAGCCCCATCTCCATCTCCCGATCCTTAGCAAGATGGTGTAAAGAACAGCATAGTCTACTTTTGCAGACCCCCCTCCCGCCGCGCCCCCACCCAGCACCACCACCACCACAGCCGAGAGCATTTCCCAGGGTAGCGGCGCTCTGCAGTGAGCTGTCCTTGGTGCTGAATTCAGCTCTCTGCTTTGTAGTCACAGCCCAGCAGCAGCCTGAGAAGCCTATTTTTCCTCAGATGCCGAGCAGGTTTGATGTCATGACGCCAAGGACCACACATGCCAGGTCTAAATTTAGTAATCCCTCCCTAAAATCTCCCTATTTATCAGTTCACTTAATGATTAGATTTTTTTCATTTTGCTGAACGTTTGAGGACAGCAGGCTGGGATGTTGGCATTGGGTAAATTTAAAATGAGCTTAGAAAGTAATGGGAAATTACAGAGCTAATTTTTGTTGCACTCTTTTCAACTACCTAATCTGCTTCTAATAAAGGGAACATGGCTGATGTAGAGCAGTTTTTTTTAGTAATTTTTCAAGAGATGACTACAAATATATCTCATTGAGAATGTTGAAAGTCATTCATTTTTGTATATTTAGCTCATTGTATTTTTATCCACACAGCACTTGATTTCAAACACTTGAGTTTAGAGATGTACAGTATTTTAAGCATCCTTCCTGATTGCATAACCATCCAGAGCATCCTCTGGAGATTTAGTACAATTTTTTTTTCCCTCAACCAAAATTTCACCTTCACACATATGCTACTCATGAGGAGCTTCACTTCTCTCATTCACCAAAGAAGGAGAGAATTTTAAAAGATACCTTTAATTGGGATTTTGCAGTTGGTTTCCTGCTGCTTACTTCCTGCAGTTGGTTGTTCTCCAGGCTACAAACGTGGACTTTATTAGCTCCTTCTTTTTTTGACCATGCCTCCTCTCAGTCATCTGTCGGTGCCTCTTCGACTGTGGCCAGCTCAGCGTTTGTCATCAGCTTTCCATCCCTGATGCGAGGAGGAGAGCAAAGCCTTCTTGCCTTTCTCGCGCCAAACTCTCGATCCTTTTACCTCGACTCTTCGTGTTGCATCGTCCTAGACCCCCTAGCCTTTCTTGCTACACGTCACTGGAAGTCCTGGGTCTTAAGGAGAGGTTGGATGGGACGCACCCACAGCAAGCCATCCACAGAGACTTCTGGATATCTGGGTTTCGGAAAGCATAGATGACGGGGTTGATCACGGAGCAGCAGGTGGCCGGGAGGACGGTGGCGTAGGTGTATATCATGGGGTAGCTGGAGTCGGCCACAATGGAGTACATGGCGAATGGCAGCCAGCACGCCCCGAAGGCACACAGGATGGCCGACAACGTGGAGACCCCTTTGGTGGTGGAGGTGGCCATAAACTGGTGTTGCACTGCGATCTGCTGTGCGTGGCGGAATGCGATTTTGCAGATCTGAAGGTACAGCTGCATCATGAGGGCAAAGACGAGGAGGAAGGTGACGGCGAGCGCCACCGCATTGTTTTTGGTGACTGGGCGACAGATGCTGCACGTAGACTGGTCTTTGAAGCAGTTCCATCCGAACGCCGGCAGCAGGCCCAGAGTGACGCACGTCACCCAGATAAAAACCACCATCATGTAAGTGAAAGTGACGGTCCGCTCGGTGTGGTAGGTCAGGGCGTTATACAGCGACAGGTAGCGATCAACCGTAATGGCGAGGATATTAAAGATGGACGCGGAGAAGGCCGAGATGAGAAGTCCGACCGACAGCAACGTCACAAATTCCACCGAGTTGTCGATCAAATAGGTGAAGACAAAGTTTAAGATGAGGCCCAGACCAGCCAGAAGATCTGACACGGCTAGCGATCCGATCAGGATGAACATAGGCGCGCGAAGTGTCGGCGTGTAGAACAGCACGGCGATGACCAAGGCGTTCTCGCAGGAGATGAGCGTCCCCGTTACGCACAACGCAATATCCCAAGGGCTGACTTCCTGCACGGTGCCAGCAGTGGTCGCCGGCTGGAGGTCCGGAGTCAGAGTTCTCAAGAAGGGCTCTGAAGAAGTGTTGGAGGGATCCTCGCTTACGTTCCAAGATGTTGAGGAGTCGAATGGGTCGAGGGGGGAGGAAGTGTTGAAGCCGTTGCCACCGCCGCTGCTCAAGGCTGCTGCGGTGGCAGCCAGGGTGAGAACCATAGCTGGAGGTAACAAGAGACAAACAGGAAGGAAGGAGGGAGGTAAAAGTATGTAAGTTCAATGGCAAAAGGATGAAAAACGAAAACAAGATTGAAAAGCACAGTTCATTAAATCATAAACCAGAGAACGAGCATGTTTGTAAAGCGTGATGGTAATATGATGCTTTCAATTAGCATTTTGTGAGGAAGATGAAGAAAATATGTTGCGGGAATGAAAAATAGGTAAAAAGGGAGAAAAGCAAGTAAATGCATTATTAACTATTTTGTATGAAGAGAAGGGATGTAACAAGAGCTTTTGACATGAGATCTTGTAATATTAGAACACCACTGTATTTCTTGTCAAGTAAGCTTTCCCTTGCAAAATGTAGATGCCTTTTTGCTACTTGTGTGTATTCCAGCAGGAAAGACGCTGCGAGGGGGTTGAAGTCAACCTGCCCTTGTTCAAATTTACATTGTGAAGCAACATAGCAGTACCCCCAAGTTTCTGATCTATGAAACCTTTCTTCCATTTTTAAAAACAAAAAAAATACTTATTTTTAACACTTTCTTAGCATCACCTTTGAATTATACAAACCAGTCAGGCTTGTATAGAAATTTTCCACAGTAATTACGTTTTTTGTGTGTGTGTTCATGATACATTTACTCTATTTAGGAAAACTGAAAGGAAAAAAATTCCAGATTTTCAAGAGAGCTAAAATATCATCCTGCAAACAGAATATTAAGAACCGTCTCACCTAATGAGTAGGATGTATTATCACATCCCTAATAAACAGATAAACAAAACAGTAATTTCTACCTACCCAAATATTCATTCATGAAAACAAGCATCTACTTGACCCTTAAGCACCCATGTTACAGTCCAGCTCCCACTCCCACTCCTGACAGGCTTTTTTTTATACAACACCAAAACAGCAGGTGTAGACACACTCTTTCACACACACACACACACACACACACACACACACACACACACACACACTTACTCACACAGGGATAGAGGTATTCCTTCCATTTCGGCTTGGCGGGAGCATGACACAGGCAACACAATTAAGCCCCCCACTCTGCGCCATTTAAAGCGTTAACGCATCGCAATCCCTACCTGTCAGATGCGGAACAGAGTCCAAGGTTCTAGTTTTTCTTACAGTCCGAACCGTCTTCACCTCATTCTATTTTTAGAGCATCTCCAAAAATGGTGCATGACGTCCCGGGGCACGGCGCATCGCTGTAGCTGCTGTTCTATTCACCGGCGGCGTGGACGTGAGCGCGCAGAGAAGCGTGTGCGCGTTTGCCTCCCCATGTCCCCACCAAAAAAAAAATAATAATAATAAAAAAATGAAAATAATAATTTTGGATTCTGATCCACATCACATGCTGCAACCGCGCTAATTTTAGAGAAGCGAGCGCGGGTGTTGGGTTTCATTCATAAAAAAAGGTTAAAAAAAAAATTCAGCTCTCACACACTTCCCACCTCTGCCACCACCCCCACTCTCCTCCCTCGCCAACTCAATTTCCTCCACACACCCCTTGCCCACTCCTCTTTCATGAGCCTCCACTCGCGGAAGGCGCGCACGCGCCGACAACATCAATGACTGCAAAACGGCCAAGGGAAGGTCACCACCGCCACCGCCGTACGCCTCGCGTGCTCTCTGTGGCGGCGGGGTTCGGTCCCCGCGGTAACGGCCGGGGCTAATTAGCATGCACCGAAACAAAACAAAAGGCCATTCTGCCCGTGTGTGTGCGCGCGCGCGCGCGTTTGTGTGTGTTTATGGAGAGAAAGTGTGAAGAAAAAAAAAGAGAGTCTACCTTGAACCGTTTCACTCAGCTGCAGCAGTGCGGTCCCTGAGCCAGCGAGAGGGGGCATGCGGGGAAGGATGGAGAGAAGGAGGGGGAGACGCTGGAGAGAAAGTGGGAATAAAGGGGAAACCATGCCACAGAGATGGGGAAAGGAATAAAAAATGTACCAGCTCCTCGTCCTTTTCTTCCCTTTGAAGGAACCGGGATGCCTCTGTTGCTCCTTTCTCCTCCTTTGAGCGACTGTTGAGTCTTCTTTCAGGGTTTCCCCCTTGTCTTTCTCCCCCCTTTTTTCCGTTCCCCCCAGTCAGCGGCGCGCGCTATATTCTTCGGTTGGCATGGTTATTAGCCTTCTCTTCGGCAAGCTCCGTCCTCGCGCTGCTCATCCCCGGCCCCTTATTGGACGCGCGTGTCATTCTCCTGGTCTGACGTCAGAAGTCTCCGCTTGCTACAGTCACCGTCTGCATGGTCGGCGTGTGAATCACGGCGAGAAGGAGAGTGTACTCTCACTCACTCACCTTAGCCAAACAACTTTATTCATCCTCTAAAACGGCGTGCCGGTTAACTTTGATGTAGTTACGAACAAAGAGGGGAAAGTCGTGATTGACTCACAGGAAAGTGCGTGTGAATTTGACTCAAAAACAACGGGGGAACACAATACATCTCAATTATCCCTCCCCCCCCCCCAACACGTGTAAAAACCAGGACATACAGCAGCTAACAGTACTTCTAACCGCTATAGAGGAGGGATGATGCTTACATTATGCAACCTCGGAGCTGCCTGGATATCCCACTGCATCAACTCAGGGGGGCGCACGGATGCGCATGCACTCGTTGCCTTTTCGCGGGCTGGTTCCATACGTGGTGTCACCATGCGTCTGAGCAGCCAGGGGCCTGCCACTCATCACAAGCACGCCTTGCTTCCTCTGTGGCCTTTATGTTCTGCTTTTAATGTTGCTTACATCAGAGTTATGGGAGTGAATCATTGTTATCCTGCTTTTATGTGTTTTGTCCTGCTTAACCCCTTTCTGCCTAAATGTATTTGCAGTTATATAAAAATAAAAAAAATTGTTTTTACTGTTCGACAAATTCCAAATGAAGTAGACAGTATGGCATATGATAGAAATAAAGTCTAGTGTTTATATGAAAAAGCAAAATAAGGTGAATGCCAATCCCATTTGATTCTGATTTCACTTCACTGCTCTGTCATAGCTTTCTCCCATTGACATAAATTCCTGAAGTAGAATTTACGGGCCAATCAGTACAAGTTGTGAACGATGACGTCAATTTCATTTGCTGTTTTACAATTGTAATCTGCCTGTAGTTTTAGCAGTGACAGCGGAGGAAATAAAGTCATTCAGTTGTTGATCACGCCTACAAATATTGACTCAACTTTAAAAGCCGCCTCTACGAACAAGGCTTAGAGCCAGTGGGGGATTGTTAACAATGCAGGCCATTTCCAGCAAGCTTCATAATGTCAAACTGGCGCTGTATGGCCAAACATTAGCAAGTGGGTAAAATTTAAAACTTCATCAGCGTCCCCATCTCCAGGAAGCAATCGTTTCTCGATAGCCGAGAGCCCAGAGCATCTATGCAAAGCGAAGCGTAGAACGAGGGCCTGGATTTACCAGGCTATACATTAGTTACAATTGGCAACTAAGTGGGAGACAGTGCTTCTAATTTGATCTTTGGTATGTGCTGAATTTGCATCAACAGGGTCTAGTGGTGTGTCACCCTGACTGCATAGTGGTTTGAGGCAAATTTCGAACATTATGTAAGAGTTAATTTTTTAATGTACATTTTATTTATTTATTTATTTATTTATTTATTTATTTTTTAGGTGATGTGAAAGACTGATATACTCGGCCTGTGCTCTGGCATACAAGATAGGACTCATGGGAAACATCTGAAGCAACTAAATTAAAAGATAAATGTTTTTAACTTCTGTATCATTGAAACAACACAAGGTTGATATATTTGACGATAAACAGGAGCATTAGTGTATAGTGATGTTTTCATCCATCCACCAAATTTTCAAATAGATGTTCCTTTTCAGCCAGTATTTCCAAATTGCCTGTTTGAAAGTCTCTGGAGAATTTTTATTTTTAAATGTTTACACTTTTATCAGTGTAACTAATTCAAATGAATAACACATAAAATGTTTTTTTTTCCTAGTTTTGTGGAAAAAAATGAAGAATGGTGTAAGTACATACACTTTATGAGACAGAGAACATTTTAGTGACTTTTGCAAATGAAACACAATGGAGGTCTGTCCTGGTCAGGAATTGGTCTAATGTGGCTGCTAAATTTTATCTGCCAAATGGGGTAAACTTTTTTTAATATTAGTAAAACAAACTTAGATTTCAGTGTTGACAGGGGACACCAAACATTTATTTTTGGACCCCGTTTTTTTTTCACTAAGTGAAAATAATTGAATGTAATTTTGGTCAAATAGTGATTGAAATAAGGATATTTTACAGCTAATAAAATCAGCTAAAACAACTGATGCAAGTTAAAAATTTCCGTATGAAAGTAAATTTCATTTTAGACATACTGGTTGTAAACATAACTTCCTATTCCTTCTCTTAACGTTTCTCAAATTTCCTCATTCCAAGTTAAAAACTCAAGTACTGTCCAATACCCCTCGTAAGTTGCCTGTAAGCAACAACGTAGCTTTCTCATGCTTCGGTCAGGCTCTGGCTGTGGCCCAAATACAATTAAACAGAAGTCATCTCTGGGGTGAGAAGAAGGTGTGTGCTTAACATCGTGACCTCTTGTTCGGTTAATATGGTATAAAACCAGGACAATTACAACACACAGCAGAAATGAAAAGATACGGAGCCTCCAGAGGATTGTCATAATGAGCCTGTAGCCATTGCAATAATGACTATAATTTGTTCAGGGAAAGGACCATTCCCAGAAAGACTAATTGTGTTGCTTTGGGAAACCATACCGTATTAGTCATGTGGCCATAATAAAATGGAAAAAATAAATAAATAAAACATAATGTGCACGTCTGTAAATATAAGTTGTTTTTTACAATGTTTGGTGTTGGGCTGAAATACGATTTTGAGTTTTAACTATAATATTGCAGTGTTATGTTGGTCTGAGTTCAATCATCTAGATGTATTTTCCTACCAACTGCAATGAGCAACACCTTTATCTTACTGTGGGCTCCTCAAGTCTCACTTGTTGTGTTTCCATGAGCTGTACAATTAAAAAATCAAATTTGGCTAAGGGAAGCACGGCAGGTTTGGAAATTTTTTTTTTACGTTTTTCGATTAAGAAGTTTGTTTTTGCTGGGATGAGGGTTTTTATTTTGTTTTTTTTTCTCGGCTGCATCGAAACACTTTTTTTCCACATCACAGGGGTCATGTTATCAACAGCCGGATGTTACTACTACTGAAATGCTGAGGAAGACGACACAAAGTAGTAGTAGTCCAATTTTTTTATTCGTTTGTTCGGACGATGTGCAGCTGGCTCCACCAGAGCTCTCACAGTTTATAAAAAGTTTTATCATTTGAATGTGTTGAATACGTAGCTCTTCTGTAAAATCGGCAACTACATTTTACCCAAAACTACGCATACGTAGCCGCTCCCAATTATATGAGATTTGTTGCTCCAATGCCTGAATAAGACGCCGATCACTGATGGCTGATGAGTGCTAGCTGTGGCTCATTTATGAATAGATGTCATGCAACTGTTTACATCCGTCGCCACCGTGTTTCGAATGACTGATCATGTGAACAAGCTTATGATTTTACTATTTCTTATTTAATGGAAACACTGCAATTGGAAAATAGTTTTTTTCGACATTTGCAGAACATACACAAAGATTTGCCCACATTTGTAATGGAAACATGGTTACCAAAGTTTTATCTGCCAAATGGGGTGTAACAAATCTTTTTCAAAAATCAGAATGCATATTTTAATATTAGAAAAAAACAAACTTAGACGTCAGCATTGACCCTCAAGAATATTGCGTTCCGTTCCTCTCAAGAAATAAAAATGTCTATATTTTTTGACATGACTTTAAATGAATCAGGATTTTATCAATGGAAAACAGCAGCATTGCTTCAAAAGTAAGCCTGATCAAAAACATAACCAGCTCTTTGAATGCATCACTTATGTTTTGTGCTACATGGGGAGTACATGAGGTTTACGGCTGTAGACAGAAAAGCCGGCGTTCAGGTGAAGAACAGGCAGGAAACCCCTGAGCTGCTCCAACACAAGCATCAGTATTTATCCTCATGTTTGTCTCTCTATTTTTCTTTTTTTTTATTTCTAGTTCAGCTGTGTGAGTCATCCCATCTCTTTTGGTCTTCTTTTTTTATTATTAAACCTACAATCCATAATGATGAGAAAGGAGCCTTTGGTTTCTTTTAACTCAAACCATTCATGCACACACACAAAGTCTTGCCTTGCCTTTTTTTTTTTTTTTTTTTTGCTTTGTGCATGAATCACCCCACATGATTAGAATACAGATGAAATGGCTGTGTGTGTTTTCATTGACTGCCTCTCTATATCTCACTTCATTCATCTTTCCAGCAAAGCACCCTGGGTAACTGTGTGCCATTACATCACCTTGCTGTTTTGGCATGCTTTTTGCAGCAGATAGCTGGTCAGTCTTACTCTCTGCCTCATCCGTCTTCAACTGACTCTACACACACACAAACACACACACACACGCCTTTTTTACAGCGATGACGGTGCAGACCGGAGTGGAGCCGCTTTACGCAGCGCTGGTGCATTCCAGTGTGGTCTTTGTTTCTGTTCCTCCTCTGAGATGAAAGTCACCAGAGGACGGGCGCTTTACATTGAGGAATCTGAATTGCATAACTCCTTCACATTTAGGGCGGTGGCGCATGGTTGTGCTTACGTCGCATTGAAAGAGTCGTGATGCAGCTGTGCCTGATGTGGGAGCAGAAAAAACAAAAACAAAAAAAAAACATATGACAAGGATATCCAAGTGTATTTTGGCTTGACTGTACTTTAAAACCCCACAAAAATAAGAGGATTGGGCTGAATCCAGGCGCACACACTCGGCTGGGAGAGTGCCAGCAGTGAAAGTGGATGACTAATACAACTCCCACCCTCACCTTTCCACCCCCTCGTTTCAACACCAAGTCAACCTCCCACACTCGCATCATGAAACAGAAACTGGGCTTCCCTCATGTGTCAGGTCAAAATAAAACCACCCCAAGAGCTGCTATTGTGTGGCATGATTTTTACTTCCAAAGTTGTAAAAATCACCAGTATGTAACTGAAACTTTATTGTCATAATATTTGGCACAACTTTATTTTAATGCAAGTTTATTCTCACAATGTTACGACTTTATTCTTTTAATTAAATTTTTCTATTTCCTTTTTTTAATCAGTTTGGCTGTAGTACGCCGTTGTAAAACTGGTGAAGTCATTTCAAGTAAAATCTTACTTATAACTTTTTTCTTTTCTTAAAGCATAATCCTGAAAACCTCTGAAGGAGCAGAAGGTTGCACCCTCCCCTTATATCTAAAACATTTAGAGAGTCCTCTCCTTCCCTGCAGCACCAACATTTAAAACACTTCCACGTTAAAAGGGTTCCATTTGCATGCATCCCTTTTTATTTGTCAGTTTCCCCCTGTTGCGCCGCTGAGCTACTAAAGCGCCGTGTTTCGGGGTGAATCATCGCTGCCATTGTAGTCGCTTTCCAACGTCAGGGAATGAGCATGCATTATTCAGCTCACTGCTGCAGGATTAAGAGGAGGACGCCGAATTTTCGGGCCCAACAAATCCCTGCAGCACTGTCGGGATGTGTGATCCGCTAGTTAGCGGCAGCTCCGGGGAGCCATAACTCCGCTTTGATTAAAGGTCTCCCTGAAAGGTCAAGAGGGAGAGGAGGCTGAAAGAGTGCAGGAGAGCAAATTGATGGACCACAGAGAACCTTTGGTTGATGTAAATTCCCCTCTTCGCTGTCAAAGCGAAGCTTGAAATGAGTCGGCACACCGCTGTGATAATAATGGGTTAGCCTGCCGGTGCTATTAAA